ATATTTTTTATTATTTAAAAAAAATCATCATCATTATCATTATTATGCAAGTAATCAGACAATCGTAGGAAAATACATTTGTGTTTGATCTTTATGGCGCAAGAGAATAAGAGCATTTAAATTTAGCGTCTGACAGATTACAGTTGCATAGTAAATATAAAGTGTGCATGGACAAATGTAACCAATAGGCGGTACTGTGCCATTCCTCATGAAGCGCTCTGCATCTCCAGCCCTGAGGACAACACTGTATCTCTGCTTTGCTTTGCTCCCTAACTGACCTAAATACAGCATCTCTGCGTCCCTCAAGGCAGACACGGTCTACCACGGAGGCTCTGAACAACGAGACTGTCTCGAGTTTTTTTTTTTCCCCTTTGAGTAATTCCTCTTCGCTTCCTGATTATAGATCCAACCAAAGAGAGATTTGTTTTTGTCTTGATCTCTGACAACTGAGGCTCGATCTCTCTGTGCTCCGATGGATTGCGTCGGGATGGTTTACACGGAGCAGAAGCCTCTCCTGGTTTGGAAACGAGACACATTCCCGGGAATGATTTTATAATATCCAGATCTGGGAATTTTTTTTTTTTTTTTTTTCCCTCAAAAAGGACAGAAAAGGTTAAAATGCTGGACGATAAAGCGCCGACATCGAAGCTCGGTCCTCCATCGAGAGGTTCGTCTTTTTACATCGAGAATCTGCTGGGAACCACAGACAGAGGGGCTTCAGCCGAGGAGCGGGTGGAGACCTCGGGCTTTAAAGTTACCGTTCACAGCCCGGTGATCTGCCCGGGACTGAACACCAGACGTCTGAACGACAGCGAGGCGCTGAACTGGAGAAAGGCATCACCAAACACAGTGTACGGCAGCTCAGGAAGTGAGTGTCCACCTGTAAACGGTTTTATTTGTTTGCTCCGGGACTCCAACATTTTCTCAAATTAGCAAAACTGAAGTTTTAATGTGGCCTGTATGAGATAACAGTGCTCATCGGCTGGATTATCAGGATTAAAAACTGCTTACCAGGTTCATGACAACACTTACATCTGATCTAAGGAGAAGTATCATTCATGTATAACGATATAAATAATTACGTCACACGTAAAAGCACCAAATGCCACGTGTAAAAGTCTAAATAACCACCCGGATCAGAAGTAGTCTATTTTCTTTCTCTAGATTATCTCACTCCGGTGCTTCAACGGGCCACAAGTGGAGACGACACGTGGGCTCTAGCACGTCTCACTGTCCTGCGTCCGTGCGTAAAAACACCCCAACTACCCAATTATCAGCCGCGGAAGAGCCAACAGTGTTTGGCATCGATACAGCAATCTTACTCTGGTGCCTCAAATAGAGCAGCAGTGTCGCTGGTGATTATTTATAAACTTCAAAAAGGACAGGGAGCATTATCAATGCGCATGATTTCCCACCGGTCCACAAGTGAAACAACGTCCTTATATAGTTTTGGACACGAGCGCAGTGAAGTCCAAACAGTGTGTAGGATGATTTAAAGTGGGTTGTGTTTCCCCTTTTTTCACGGTTTTTCCTCGAAGGTCCACAGTTGAAGGCCAGCGACTCGGATGAACACAGAGACCTTCAGTCGAGCAGCGACCGGGATTCCCCGACTTTAACGGGGCGGGCGGAGGAGAACGATGAACCGGAGGAGAAGGGGGAAGATAGTTTAACGGATGAAAGAGAGGACGACGCGCGCTCCTCCTGCTTCTCTCGAGAGGACAGCTGTGACCCAGGTGAGGCCAAAGTAAATTGACCCGCGCTACATCCTAAAATACAGCCCACCCTGGGCTCTGTGGGGAGCACAAGCGGGCATGCGCAGGCTCCTTCTTACCGCCGTGATGACAGGCTGCATGCAGACTTGTTTTTGTTTTGTTTTTTCCCTTTTGGAAGTAGGATGTAGAAAATTAGCTTTGCTGTTGGGTTTATATACTAACCATGAATTTGTCCTCTGTATAAAATCAATATATCAGCGGTTTTCACAAGCTTCACATGAACTAGCAGGGATGTAGCGAAGAGTTGCTGGGTCCATGTGACAGAAAACGGCCATGGGCACCTTTTTCTTTTTCTTTTTTTTTCTTTAAATAAAAATGTTGCTACCAAATGATGCCATCTTTTAATACCGATATCTTGGTAAAATCTCTATTAGTCATGGATGTAATGTACTGTATTGATTATATATTCAATATCTACAATTAAGTTAACCAACATTCCCATCTGGGTATTTTATCTGTTTCTCAGTTAACTTTACCCCCATTGAAATTTACCCTAAACTTCAAAATACGTCAATATTCCAATACAAAACTATAAGGACACTCGGAGAGCGCAGACCTCATGCAAACCAGAAAATCTCAAAGTCATAGTAAATGATCCGGATCTGCCCCAAAATTTAAAGGGTTCCTCCCTGGACCACGTCCCGGCCCTCCACCAAGTTCAGTGAAAATTACTTTTTGTGTAATCCTGCTGACAAACAAATTAACACAGGTGTTGGCAGAGGTAAACCATGACAGAAGATTCATTCATGTCTCCTACCCCCCCCCCTCCCCACCACCACCCCCCAAATCAAAGCAGCACTTTCAAGAGTTGTATCCAGTTACTTTAAGTAAAATCTCTCCCTCTTCCTCGTCTCAGGTGACACGAAAGTGGCGCGAAAGAAGAAGACCCGCACCGTGTTCAGCCGCAGTCAGGTCTTCCAGCTCGAGTCCACTTTTGACCTGAAACGCTACCTGAGCAGCGCAGAGCGAGCCGGGCTGGCTGCCTCGCTGCAGCTCACAGAGACCCAGGTGAAGATCTGGTTTCAAAACCGCAGGAACAAGTGGAAGAGGCAGATCGCTGAGGACATGGAGGCCAGCAGCGCCGGCGTCCCCTATGCTGCGCAGAGGGTCGTCCGAGTTCCCGTGCTGTATCGCGAGAGCATCACCACGCCCATGGCGCTGACCAGCTTGCCTCAAGTGTCGCCGTCGGTGGTTGGCTTCTCTAATGCTATTAACTATCCATTGACTGCTCACTTCACTCATCCGCTGTCGTTTGTGACGCCACAGATGACCGGGCTGGTGTGACTGTGAGGATGGAGGAGAAGCTAAAGCGGCCCAGCAGACTTGTGACTCTTTGGACACCAATTAAACAAATAAAAGACGCTGCAGAAATGTTCATTTTAGCTCCAGTTCAGGTTCTGTAAAGTCACAACTTCTGCTAATGCACTGAGGATAACTCATCCTGTGTTTAACTGTTTTTCTTAAAGTTGCTTCTAGGAAAAGTCCAAAAGAAACAGACAGATTTAGATCAAGGTGGATCACTCATCTAGGGCGAAGGCCGAATTAAAACCCTCTCCATATTAGCAGTGCTTTTTCTCCCCCAGTTAGTTTTTAAAAACTTGTAATTTTTTAAGATTCACTGCTAGATTTAATAAATATGATGGATATTTTTGGAGTATTTAAGCTGCCCACAATCCTTTTCCTCAGGCCGACATTTCACACAAGATCACACAGGATTTAAATATAGCTCTATTTTGTGATTTTTCACTATTGTATGAGTGACCCACATACTGTACATATGGGGAGCAATTAAGGGTCAATAATGTTTTTTTTTGTGGAATTATGTTCAGAGATCATTTCAAAATTTGTGATTATACATCAGCCTGTGTAAACCTGTGGGAAAAAAACTTGTAACACGTAAAAACAAAACTATTTGTGGAGAAAATTAGCAAAATGCTAAAATAAAATTAGCGGACAAACGATATCAATGGAGAGGTTACACAATGCAAAAAACACTTCTCAGTGGATCAAAGCATAAAACTGTGAAATTCAAAGTTCCCACACTGTGTGCGATCTTTAAGTTACATTTGAACACACATTTACTTTTGCCTCTGCTTTTAAACCTCACTATGCAACACAACTAGAGATCTTCTCCGCACATGAACAAACTTTTGTCACAGGTTTTCAGGTTCTTTGTCGACATTATTTCCCAAGCTCTCAAGGCTTTTTGACCCTTATTTGAGCCCATACACATAATTTATAATGAATATAACGCACTGTCTCATTGGACAGCTCTACAATGTGTAGAAACTCAATCACTAATGAAAATGTATGTTGGTGTTTGTGACTTTTGATAGCTGTGAGCATGGCTACGTTATTAGCAATAATCTGACACTTTTTTTTTTTTTTTTTTATTTAAGAGAATTTTAATACAGACTTTTGTACACCGATATGTTCACGTATGAATAAAATCTATGCACAAGTTATTTTGTGGTTTCTTACTAACAGGGTAACTTTATCGCATGGTGACCGTTTGCACTCCCGTGTAAAAGCAATGAAATGAAGCCTGTTTACTGCAGGCTACAGGCACATTTGAGGAAGGGGAGTGTGTGAGCTTTACAAGCACAACTGAACCAGATGAAGTTAGGATATGTTCACAGACTAATTCAGATAAGATATAGGCCACAGATAGTGGATATAGTCCTTCAGAACAGCTGACAGGCTGAACAGACATAAGAAACAAACAATAGAAGTTAATGCATTAAAGTAGTTTCCAGCGTCTGTGGCCCCTGAACCATTTTTGGGTCCCATAATTCTCTTGAAGCCTCCAGTCAGAGAGGTCAAGCTGCATGTGAATGTGGCAGTTAAAAGAAAAAAAGAAAAAGAAAAAAAGAAAGAAAAAAAAAAGAAATAAACATCAGTGCTGGGAAAGATGCTATGCTTTAAAAACTCTGATCCACAGGAGTCACGTCTTGAATCTGCTCAGTATTACGCCGCATTGAGCAAACACACGTGAATTCTGGTGACATTAAACTGTTTAAAGCCACAATATGGCAGCCAGACGGAAATCTGCATCCCGCCCTCATCTGCCCCACAACCTCACCAATCAAAAGCTGCTAAACCGCAGTCTTCCGGGTCGTTGAAGAGCGTCGCGCCGGCTCCTCCGCGCGCTAGTCGCAGCCGAGGAGCAATGGTGCTCGGAGCGTCCGGAGACGTCGGTGTTTCGGGAATCTCGGAGGAGCGGATGAAATGCCGGGGAACATGAGCAAAGAGGACGCCCCGAGTCGGAGCGCTTCTTTGACCTTCACCATTGACAACATCCTCAACCTGAAGCAGCGGGACGGCGGAGACTTTGGCGCTTCGAAGGCGCAGAGGGACAGTGGATGTAAGAATGATTTTCAAGCGCGGTATGAGGAGGTGTGGGACGTCCGGAGGAGACATGGCAGCGGGCAAGAGGAGACAGGTAACTGTGGCAAATTCATTTTGTTTTCTCCAAAGTACTTTATCTAAAAGTGACTGTTACATTTTTATAGGGAATATCCAGTTTCAGCTGATAGACATGGTTAGAAGTAGACTGATGTGTAAATATACAAAAAAAAAAACAGAGTGAGGGTAACGACCAAAATTACTTTCTGAAAATGTCAGGATGAAGGTCTCGTGCTGGAGGTCGTTGTTTTCGTTTTTTTTTTTTTTTTTTTATTAATTACCTGAATAGTTGTGCAGCCTCTTTGCATGTGTGTGTGTGTGTGTGTGTGTGTGTGTGTGTATCTGCGCACGGAGTTGCCGGGGAGTGTGTCTGACTTTACCGCTGCATCAAAGCACGTTTTGTCGCTTCATTCACAGTGAAGCCCAGAGTCCAGCGTGCGGACCTCGGGGAAAACACCCCACCGCTGACCGCTGGTTCCTGTCCCGGGTCGCAAAGTGCGCACAGCGCCGAGGACGCGTCCGAGCAGCAGCAGCAGCAGCAACAACAACAGCAGCAGCAGCTACAACAACAGCAGCAGCAGCAGGAGGCCACTGACACCAAAGCCATGGTGAAGAAGAAGACGCGCACCATCTTCTCCAAGAGACAGATATTTCAGCTGGAGGCCACTTTTGACATGAAGCGGTATCTGAGCAGTTCGGAGAGAGCGTGCCTCGCCAGCTCGCTGCAGCTCACCGAGACGCAGGTGAAGATCTGGTTTCAGAACCGCCGCAACAAGCTGAAGAGACAGCTGTCCACGGACATGGAGGGGCCGCTGGCCGCCGAGCACTTCTCAGAGGCGGGAAAAAACGTGCAATTACCGACTTTTTACAAGGACAGCAGCCTGCTGGGCGGATGTTTGTTACCCATGCCTTTCCCCGTCATGTACCCGACTGCAAACGCTGCGCCTTACATCTACTTCTCCAACACTGGCAAATATTTTGGCCTGTTTGAGGCGGACTGATGTTTCCTCTGTGTGGACACTCCGACATACAGTCACCCCAGGGTTGGCTTTACATGAGCCTGTCACTTTTTATTTTATTATCAACTTTTTTTTTTTTTTTAAATGTCTTTTTTTTCCAGTTTATAGAAATTTTCCCAACTTTGATGTAAACATATCAACTAATCCAAAACATGCATGTGCCACTTTTTTTCCTTCCCCAAATTGTTTATATTATTATTAATTATTATTTTTATTATTATTATATTTTCAAAGGTTAGGATATTTTAAATAGAAAGTTTATTGTCAGAAGAAAGTGCATGCATTAAAGTTCCTGAGCAGTTTTCCTTTGCGCAGTAATGTCATCTGACTGAATGTATGTTCATGCTGCATTAACTCCGTTACCCTGCAATAATACTTTGACTTTATTTTCCAGCTCTTGTGTTGAAATTTCAGAGTTTCTGAGGAGCAACACTTCACTTGTATTTATATGGCCTTATTTTTGTTGTTGTTAAACACTTTTGTTTGTTTTCACTTGATCTTTCATATGACAGACTGTTGAACTGTGAATACAGTTATTATATCATGAAAATGACCAATTTTGCAATAAAAAGTGGAATATTATTTTTGCAGTGTGTTGACTTTAAACTGAATTATATCAGGACAACAGTGATTAGACAAAAGGGATTTCCAGAAGACTTTTTTTTTTTATCTCTTTCTTCAGTGTATTTATTTCATATTATTCTTATGGTGCATTTGTTTCCAGGTTATAAGTTATAGTTTGTTCTTTTAGAAAGTGTGAATCTCTGTCGTCACAGTAACAAGGTTAAAGTTGAGCTGTTTCCTCTGCACTGCTAAAGTCAGGGAGAATTCTTCAACTCTAATGTTCAAAACTTTGAAAATGGCTCCAGGTTACTTTACATGCTTCCTAACGAACGAACAGAGCGTGTCGGGTCTAATCACTCATTTAATTTCAGTTTGAAGTCAGAAACTCGTTTCCATCAACAGGTCACTTCCCTGCATTCATTTATTCATGTATTCTCTTTAGCTGCAGTTGCATCATATGAGCAGCTGCTGCCTCAGCCTGTCTGCATAAACAGACACTTGAAAAGTTTGTGTCGGCCGTTATCATCGGGTTCCTCTCTCCATGCAGTGAAGTGTTAAAATGTCACTTCTCTTCATATCTGCGTTGCAAACTTGTAACTTTACAGTTTTCCCACAGTCAGTGACTTTCTGTCTGATTCTTTACTGTTCGTTTGCTGCACTAAAATCCCTGAACTGAACTTTAAAGAGTTTTTAAAAAGTCAAATCACTGCAGAGTTTGTGTCTCTTGAAATCACATTTAGACCTTTAAAGTTTGTGAACTGGTCTCAGGCTTTTCCTGCTCCATCTATCAAAGGCCTGATCTCCTGTTGAAACATTTCTTCATAAAAGTAGTTTTGCTCAGACTGATTTAGTTTATTTACTGATATTAATGTCACTGGGATTATTAATTAGAAATGTTGACACTGCAAAAGTCTGCTGTTAACTTGAGTAAAAATGTAGACAACTGAAAAGAGTAACTTAACCCTAAACTGAGGAGATTATGAAATATTTTCAAATATAATTCTTATAATAAAATTTTTGATTTGAAAATATGTGAGCCAGTTTGAAGTGAAAATTCCTGTGGTATCATTTTTTTTTTTTACCGCTGGCATTTCTGCTAAAAACATGGCACCAGATCTATTAATACAGCAGGAGGTCATCTGTGGTGAACCACAGGTCAAACTGGGACACTGGTTGTTTGTTTGTTTGTTTGCTTATTACCCTGCACAGTCACTTCATGACAGAACCTAGTAAAAATATGAAATTGTATCATGTCACTTTGGTTCATGTTTGCAGAGTCTCACAGATTCAAGCGGTGTAGAAAAGAACTTCAACGCGAGATTCTCCTCTAAACTAAAATATAACATTAAAAACATAAACATGTTAGATTTTGGGGTTAATATATACTCAAGATTGAAAGGCAGGTCAACTTCATGCAGCAGACTTATTCTCTAGTGCAACATGAACATGTATAAGTGATAATTCCTGTTACACCACAAACAACTGCTTTCAGGAGGGTATTTAAACATATGCACAACCAACTGAGATCAAACACGAGAAGTTTATCATTTGAATCCTACAGCCTGATACTGAAAAAGTCATGGTAACATTTCATTACATAAGAGACTGAAGAGCAAAAAGGTAATGATGAAGTGTACATGGCTTCTTGGTTTAAGTGTGTTTTCAGTAGGTCTGACCGACAGAAAAGGACAGCTATTACAATTATTCATTTATTTTAAATCCCTTTTTTTTGGCTCCTACTGGACTGTGGACCTCTTGTATATTGGGGAAATAATAAACAAAAACAAAAGTTACAAAATAGTTTGACTAATTTAAAAAAAAACATTTGTATAGAAAGAAAGAAACTTTTCTTTATAGGAGTAGAAAGACAATCAATGACAGGCTGAGCTCCTGCAAATGTAGCTACACACTGAGCACTTATTGTTGATCAATTTACACATCATCAGCTTCGTGTAGCAAGATGTGCATTTCCATACCACACAAGAAAATCTGAGCCAAGATTCTTCAGGGGAAAAAAAACAAAACAAAACAAAAACAAAAACACACACACACACACTGTACCAATAAGGTGGCTCAGGTCAAAGCTAATGAAGTCATCACAGTGACAGTGCAGGCTGATTCGTCTCTCTGGTGTTAATCTGCTTCCATAATAACGTAACGCAGCTTGACAGTCTTAGTGCCGTCACATCCATCTCTGACCAAAAAAAAGGGTCTGACTTTTTTTTTTTTTTTTTTGAAGAAAGGGAGTAAGTGTTTCCTAAGAACTGACAGAATTTTTGTTGCAGGTGGAAAACACAGTCACTATCTGTTTTTCTTGAGAGCACATGAGCGTCGCTGAGTAATGCATCTCTGCAGAAAGGGAGAGAGAGAGAAATAAGAGAAATGTGTATTTAGGTGGACTTGCATCAGTGCTTCTGGAGAGATTTTTCCTAAAGGGCCCAGCAAGCTGCACTTACACACCGTTTCCGGGTCACTTCCCCCTTCAGTGCTGGAGCCTCTCACTGCTTTCTCCCTGTCACAGCCATTCAAGGCCCCGTCGCTGTTAACCTGTTCACTCAACCACTTAGTCTGCCTGCAAATCTGCTGTTTTCTCCACTAAATTCCTGTCTACCTTTGCTGTGAATGTAGCGTTGTACTGTATCTCATTATTCCTCGCAGTGGAAATGAGCAGTTGTTGCTCTGATGGAATATTTCTTGAAAAAGTTAAGTCTAATATTTGGAAATAAAAAAGACGAAAAGAAAGAGAAACAGACTGATTTTTGATGTTTAAAAATCAAGTGATAATTCAAAAAAGACACAAAAAGTGACTTTCAAGAATTAAGAAATTTGTACATAACACACCATTTTTTACTTTTTCACTAAGGGTTTTTGCAGCAGTGTATTTTAACACATTTTAACAAGGCTGCTTTAAAGTGAAGTTTTCCCTCTTGGTTTTGCTTGTAACTGAGAGAAAGTTCCAATTGCAGGATTCAGTGTAATAATCACAAGTACTCATGTAATTTTGAGCACATTTACAAGTAAAAGCAGCAACTCTAAACTATTGCAAATCCTTATAAGCCTTTAACACCACACAGTTGGGCTGGATTTAGCATCTCTTTGTCCAACAAACTGGCAGGAGCCATTTGAAAATCCATCTCAGAAATTATCATCACCATTATTGTAGCTTCATTGCTTTCATCTTAATACTTTTTATGTTAATTTAATGCCACAGTAGTCAGAATAATTCATTCAGATAAATATGCTACCTATCATCAGCCAAGGTGCATTAAAAACATTTAAAGAAGTAGTAATATCACATTTTTGCAGCCATGTTTACTGTCGTGATGTGTTGGTGGCAAAACGATGGAATAAACAAATTATTTCTTATAATGCACTGAAACCGAATAGAAAGTGAAAGGCTTTATGTGTGTATTCATCGAATTGTGGGTGTTTGTCGAATACACATCAGTCACATCTGGGGACTTTCCGCCTGTGGACAAAAAATCCAGTCCACACAAGCTTACTTGCTTATTTACAAGGAATATTAAACCTGTCACACAGGTGCACTTGAAAAATAGCAGCTGTAAACTTTCAGATTTTATAAAGTATGTGCTGCAAGCCTGCATATTCAGGCACAGTGTTACATTAGTAATATTTGTAAATTATTTATATATTTTGAATTAAGGTCAGATTAAAAAAAAAAGAAGAAAATAGTCATTTTCCATCCATTTTTCAAATTATTTATATCAAGACGTCAAATATACATGTCCAGTCCTACAGCCAAGTGTTAGCACTGACATTATGGAATATTATATCACTTTTAACAGTGCGTTTGAAAATATAGTGTAGGTTTGAACTTGTAGACTGTGTTGCAAGTGCACATGTTCGGATCCGATTCATTTTGGAAATAAGATGTTTCAGTTTCTACCTGTAAACTCTGGTTTGCAAATTTGTGCATTTAGCTCGAGTTTACAGACAGTTACCTGAATGTTAGTCACTTAGTAAGTCGAGACCTGAATATACAAATACGTAAATTTACACACGCTTGCAAAACTAAAAATGTGTATAATATTCCCTAATTTGAGGGTTAACAGATTTTCAAAGGTTTGAGTGTGTGTGTGTGTGTGTGTGTTCATGTAAATTTGATGTATATTCACATAAATGAATAAACAGCTTCAGTTACAGATGGAAAATAACTGTTTTGAATGTTTCTCATTTGATCATAATTCAAAATAAATAGTAAATAAACAAATGTAACACTAATAATAATGAAAGGATAATATTTCCAGTTTTGCTGTTTAGTTGTGTTCATTCTGTGTTGTGTGCTGGTTTGTTTACATTTGGATTAAAGGTTAGAATTATGACCGTCTTAAACGTAGCGTGAAGGTTTACAAATGGAGCAGTTATGGTTACAATCATAAGAGATAATGAATGGAAGT